GCAAAAGATGCTTAGATCTTCCAGCTACATTGTCCACCATAGACCAGATTTCTCCCATCCTGCAATCACTGTTACTCAGGCGCCACAGACTACCTGTGGACGCGGTAGCAAGTTGAGCTACACTGAGTGCAGTATAAAGGTACTGTCAGCATAATTCTACTACTGCTTCATTTTCATTAGCCCCACATCTCAATGTTTCACAGTGACCGCCTCACCCCCCACATTGGTCATTCATTGGGTGGTGCAGAAATATTCAGTGATGTTCTCATAGCACACACATACAACAATGATGTGATCTGCTGAGACAGGGCCCCTCAGTGGTCTTAGTAAACAATGTTGCATATGGGATATTGACAGATGCTTCTCTGATCTCTCTCCCTCTACTAACCACTGAATAGCCATATGGGTCTCTTGCAATAAAATAATGAATCTTGAGTTGGCTTTGGTCACTGCAAATTGAAGAAGAAAATGCCAACCTCCACAAAATCACATGTACAAAGAGGACATACACAAGTGTAATTTGGACTTATGCTTGCAATATCACAAACAAGATGCTGACCTACATACATCTGACTCTCTACATAATAAATAGAAATGTATGTTAATATCCTGGGGCAAAAGGGGAACATTTTACATCCGTAATAAAACGACCACAGCAGGAAGTATTTTGTCTCATGTATACATACAGTTTCCATCTGTGTTGTCATCTGTGTAAGAAAAAACACAAGTGTATGAATCTGAAACGGATATGAAAGAAGAAGAATCAAGCCAGCTCCCTTAATATTTTGCATAGATGAGGACGGCTAATGATTTGATCGTGTGGCCAGTTTGATTCCAGCACCACTCAAAAATTCTTTGGGGGAACTATTGTAAAGTAGTCAGCCTTCCAGATTTGTGGATTTGATTATTAACTGATGGGGTTCTTCCACGCAGCTCTATATGCCAGAATATCAAGGCAGGAAATCCCACATTATCTGAGTGTGGACTCCGATAACCCAGTTCAAAGCAGATATTGTGGGATTTTCTGCCTTGATATTCTAGAGGCCCTTCCACACAATCCTATATCTGCTTTGAACTGGGTTATCTGAGTCCACACTCAGACAATATTTGCTTTGAACACGGTTATCTGAGTCCACACTCAGACAATGTGGGATTTTCTGCCTTGATATTCTGGGATATAGAGCTGTGTGGAAGGGCCCTTGGAGTCTCTAGGTCTTCCAGTGCAATTCTATCATCAATTTTCACCAGCAGGCTATAGGACACAAAGACTCTTGGGGCCCTTCCACAAAGCCCTTTATCCCAGAATATCAAGGCAGAAAATCCCACAATATCTGCTTTGAACTGGGTTATCTGAGTCCACACTCAGACAATGTGGAATTTTCTGCCTTGATATTCTGGGATATAGTTCTGTGTGGAAAGGCCCTCAGATAGAACAACTCTCCAGCAGTAGTTGATCTCATGCTGGAGAACCTAGATATTGCTGTCGGTTTTCACTCTTGGAGTGGTTCTGTCCTCTGCCTCTAATCCCAGTGAATGTGGAAGGCTGACTATATATTGTACACCGTGAAAGAAAATGCCACTTTGGTGTTGCATTATTTAGCCTAGGCAATGCTTACGATCTTCCAGAAGTGTCCAAGACAAACACTTCTGCAGAACACAGAAAGCATGGAAGTTATACTTATCTATTATAACAGATAATTATAATTATTGATTTGCAGTGTCTGATAGTCCCAGGAAAGTTCCCTTTCTGTCCTTCTCTCACTCATCTTGGGGAATAATGTCAGGTTTCCAGTTTTTGGAAAAGTTACTTTTTTGGACTATAGCTTCCTGAATCCTCAATCAGTATGACCACTGGCTTTATAGCATGACGTTACTGGTTTGAACAAGAAGCTGGCATACACAGAGCAGTTGCAATGCACCTACCATTTGGCAGGGACGAGAGTAGGCACAAAGGCCATAGTATCAAAATTGTGTGGATACAAACTAGGTTGCAGGATGGGTTGTGTGTATAGGAACTACAACACCTTCATAGCAATGAGTCTGATTTTTTCTGAATACACCCTTTACAAGGTCTGCAGACTCTCCAAGATCAAAGATAATTTTAATTGTTTTAGGTGAATCTTCCTTTGATATGTGATTGTCTGGCTAGCTGGAAAGGATTTCCTAATTTATGAATTACTACGTATTTATGTACTACTCGTAGTACTGTGTGCTGTCACTGCTCAGTAAACTGATTGTCTATACTGGTTACTATATGGAAAGAGAATTTTCCAGTCCTCTCTGTTTTCTCCTTCCCTGGAATTGGTAACTGATGGATGCAATGTCAGAGGGGTGATGAATCCACACAAAGTTTTACTCCAAACCTAATAGGAGTGACTCAAAATGTTGAACTCAATCCCTAAATTAGGTTCAGTACTTTGGATATCTCTGACTCTAAGTCAAAGAGACACAACTGACATCAGTATCCTCAGCTGCCGCCGCCTTGATATCTGATCATATGTTCAGCTCAGATAAGGTTTCTCGCAGCACTTCACGGGATGCCTGGCTATTAGGTAAGTATCTACATGCATGCCGTTTTTCTTGGTAAAATACTCAACTGTATATACCCATATTGGTTTCAAAAATAGCTTGTAGCTCTCAGATATCCCACCCCATCTGCTGTACACCTTAAATAAAATGGTTTCCACAGATTTGCTTTTCCTGGAATATTGGAAGGGCTCTGGACACACAGGATCTCCTCAAACAGCAAAATAGATCTGTGAGAGTGAAGAAGAACAAATTAAGACTGGTTTCAATATACTGCTTGGTGTCCACCTGCTAAAAGGTATACATGATCAAACAACTGCCCAAGGTATTCCTTTTAAGAGTATCAGGGATTATCGTAAGTAGAAGCCGATAATAATAGAATCTGAAGAGTTGGAAAGTGTTGTGACATTTCCTAAGAGGAAGCCAGAACAGGTAGCTTTTGTTCATGCTTTCTTTGCATCTGATTGCCACAAGTAGTGTCGTCATTTTCACACCAGACAACTATAGTTTGATATTGCATTTTAACTTTCAAAGTGATCTTGATGAGGCCCTAAAACATTCTGGCTGAAAATTCTAACTACTTCTCCAAATTATAAATCCCAAGATTCTATTGGACAAGAGTATATCTGTTAAAGCGGTGTCAAAATGCTTTAATTATGTAGTTTGAAAGAGACTTGGGAACAAATCTCTATGAACATATGATATTAATGGGCCTTTTCTCCATTGCTTGAGTGCTCTAGCTGGAGGTCGGCTGTGACCAGCAGTGCTGTAGAATTTGAAGAGGCACAAATGGAGGGCAAAAGAGAGAAGCGTGCCAAGAGGAAGGCGCATCAAGCCAACCCTGACTGGGACCACCTTCCACCTGGAAATAGATGCCCTCACTGCGGGAGAACATGCGGGTCAAGAATAAGGCTCCACAGCCACCTATGTACCCACCGCAAGGACACTGCTCTTGGAGGACAATCTTACTCAGACAACGAGGGATCACCTAAGTATGCTTTCAATACAATTGGAGTAGGAACCTTTGGCCCTATACATTTTGAACTTCAGGTCCAAGAAGCTCCAGCCAGGTTAGCAATGGTAAAGAATGAAAGGAAGAGAAGTCCCAAACACCTGGGACCCCCAAATGGTTCCCACTCTTAGCAGATGGGTCACCCTTGTTGAAGTAATCCAACTCATTTAACATGCCATGAACTAGAAGCATGGTCCTGCAAAACATAATCTAGAGCAGTGGTTCTCAACCTGTGAGTCCCCAGGTGTTTTGGCCTACAATTCCTAGAAATCCCAGCCAGTTTACCAGCTGTTAAGATTTCTCAGAGTTGAAGGCCAAAACATCCGGGGACCCACAGGTTGAAAACCACTGATTTAAATCAATGTGCTTTGCAGGTTAGGTGGTTAAGATCATGTGAAGCAATTACAGATTTTGCAGTATGAAGGAAATTGCTCCAGAAAATATCTGTGATGAATACAAAACCGTAAACAACACATCATCCTGCAATTGCTCTTAATAAAGTGTTCCCATGGAATTAAATTCCCAGCTAATAGATTTTGTATTTGAAAGTTGAAATCCGGGTAGCACTACACTTCAACGTATCTATAATTTGAACCAGGGATGAGGAATACGTGGCCCTCCAAGCAATTCTTGGATTTCAACTCTCAGCATCCATGACGTTTGCTGGCTCAGAGGTGCAGCGCAACAAGATATGGAGGGCCACAAATTGCCCTACCTTTTCAGAAACCCTAACATTTGCTTTCCAGCAAAAAGATACAAACCATAAACACAGGCTTTGATCTTCCTTTCCAACACACTATGGGTGTCAAACCCATTTTCACAGAGGGTCACATCAGCCTTATGGAGTCTTCAAAGAGCTGTTTGTAGAAACTTAACTATGTTGCCCTGGCATTATAAGCCTCGCAGGCCACATTAAATGATATGGTGGGCCAGATTTGGCCCGTGGGCCTTGCATATTACATGTGTGAGCTAGACTCTGCTGGGGGCTAATCTATGTTACAGTAATGTGCTAATAGCCAACATGGAGGAAACACTACTGATCACCCAAAAGTCCTGGGATGGACATTCCTGGGTTCCTGATGCAGAGTTTTGATACTCTCCTGTCTCCCCATCACATTATTCAATGTTCACTACAGCAGAAGACGTGCACAGGGAAAATGTCTCTAAGATCCAAAAACATCCTAGCTGTGACTTCTCTTTTGCCTTAACATATCCAAATTGTAAATTGTGCTCTTTCCAAAGCTGGAGAAAAAAACTATTTAAGAAACTATTTTAAATGCCAAAGTCCAGCCTGTACCATCCCTGGTCAAAGCTATGCATCATTACTTCTCCTACCTCACCCCGATCAAGGACCAGAATACATGCAGAGTTTTGCTTTCATTTTGGAATTAAAGATTAAGGTTTAAAGCAGAACAAGATTTAGATCACAACATTTTTTCCCCAAAAGAAATAATTTTTGGCATGAGAAATACACATATTGCCATTAAGTCCCCCATACTTTTAATCCTCTTGAAGAACTATCTCAGTTTCTTCACTAAACATATCTTAGCATCTCTCTATAAAAATAGAAAATTCTATCTTGAATGGCATCACTTTTGGCAAGTTCTATGGTCAAGTGGACATGATGAGGTGTCCACTTTATTCTTTCTTTATTTAAAAAGTAGCCATTTGCGTGTAGGATGTGGATGAGCTGAATCACAGCCAAGGCATAAGGGGAAAGGTTGTGATTCCTTTGCTGATCCGATCCAGATCTGACTGACACACATCTGCTTATCCTTTAGTTGTCCACCCATAAATTCCCATTTACTGAAACTCATCTGACTTCTGGGCCATATCTACCCTGTATATAAGGAACATTATTCCACTATAACATTGTATACAATGATACTTGAACATCAATGGATTTTGGTATCAATGAGGTTGGGGGTTCCAAGGGCCCACTGTACTGTACCTCCAAGTCCTGGACATTTCTTGTCCTGCCACAGCATTTGAATAAAAGGGATTGTGCTGCTAGATATCTGAGAAACACCAGGAAGCTGGGTGCATTGTGGTATTGTTGAGCATTAACAGGAATCTAATTAGGAATGGGGTGGGGATGTTTTTCAACCAAGTATTTTCCAGTTAATAAATCAGGCAATAGCAGGCAGAAACAAAACGATGGCTCATTAAAACAGTTGAAATATTCTGATTCATGTTTGCTCAGTCCAAACACAGCCCTGGTAAGACACCCCTCCCTCCCCAAATTCCCATGTATCCCCTTCCCTTGTTTTTCACCATACTGGTGAAGTAACTGGTGCTGAAGTTCTCTAGTAGGGAGCAAAGACGATGGGGCCTGTTGCTGCTCGCACTGGGCCTGGTGGCGTTCGGAAAAGCGCTGGTCCAAAGATGGGAGCTTGGAAGAGGGTCGTGGCAGCTGGTCGAAGTGTCAGTGGGCTGGGGAGAGCACACATGGTAGCGGGGGTAAGGGGACTTGGCAGGAATCGTGCGGCCAAGGTCTTCGTAAGGTGCTTCTGGAGGGCCAGTTTGGACTGTGAAGGGTGAGAGAAAAGGAGGGAAGCAGGGAGAAGAAAGACAGAAACGAAGAGGGAGATGTCATACAAGCTAATTCATTGCAAAAAATAGGTAGGGAACACAGAGGTCTGTGGCTTTAATTTTCCACTAATTCATTGAAGGTACGGATAATTTGGCATGTCCATAACTCAAACCTTATGTCTCAGGCCCCTTCTACACTGTCATATAAAATCCAGATTATGTGCTCTGAACTGGAATATTTGGCAGTGCAGACTCATCTAATCCAGTTCAAGCAGATAATGTGGATTATCTGCTTTGATAATCTGAATTATATGGCAGTGTAGAAGGGGCCTCAGTCCCAGATCACACTCCCCTTTTCAAATGGCCTGGCCTGGACCAGTCAAGCCCTGAAATCATGATCTTATAACAAAAGCAAGAATGTTCCTGATTTTGGTTCATTGATGCTATGCTGAGCAACAGCTAAGACTATTCGTAATAGGCTTAAATACTTCAAAAGCATCAGATTCCATCTGATCTTGGAAGCTAAGTAGGGTTAGTGCTGGTTAGTATTTGGACAGGAGACTGCTGGAGGAGGGGACTGGCAAAACGACCTCTGAGTATCTCCTACCCAAGGACACTTAATGACATTTGTAGGGTCACCATATGCTGGCAGACAATTTGAAGACACACACACAAAATGTATTTGAGATTGGAGAAGAGAATCTAGGCTCCCAAGAATAAACCACCAACTATGGGAATTCTCTCCTGCCACCCACTCTCTTTGCTTCCCCTCTGTACAATATTTCCAGTATTGTCTTGAACTGTCGGTGATAAATACCTTGAGAATACTCACTGCCAGGGCCGTATTCTTCTGCATTTTGCTATAGGGACTGTATTTGGGCTTGGGAGGCTTTCCTGCAAGCCTATCCTTGTGCCGCCTGCTGCTCATGTGCTGTGGGTAGAGAATCAAAACTTGTAAGTGTTACTAATTAAATTGTAGACCAAGGAATTTCCCCTGAAAAGGCCAACTAGTTCAAGGGTTAGCAGATGATCAACAGAGATCTATGTAGAACTGTCCTGAGTTGCCCTCCAAAAACAGCCTTTAGGCAATGTTGGAAGTAAAAGAAAAATGCTTTACTTCAGCATACACAAAGGATAAGCAAATGCAATTGAAAAGTGCAAAAGAATACAAGGAAGTCTTAATCCAGACACAAATTAAAGTCTCTTACAAAGTCCCAAAAGAAACACCAGTCTTCCATCAGACAGCAGGCAATAAACTAAGTTCTTAGCAGCAGACACAAAGCAGATTCCATTGGATTGAAAACATCAGTATCAGGGTCGTTGTTACCAGTGAAAGCTGACTGCTCTTGAATTCCCCATGCAGGAGTGCTAGGGCGTCTCCCAATTAGCTCAGTGTTTTTAGCAGCTATCCTAGCTGAACACTGTCTGTGCTCTTTTCGTCTCTCTAGGAATGTGAAAGTTCAAACCCTCATCATCTGATTCTTCTTCTCTCTCCAATTCCTGAGCACTTCCCTGCTCCGAAGATGAGGAATCCCTAACAAGAACCACTAGTAAGATGGGGAAACCTTCCTGCCACTTACCTGATTGAGCTGGGTTTCTGAGTTGACATAGATCTCGCACACCTGACATTGGAAGGCCTTGTTTTGGATGCCAAGGCTGCCTTTGCTGCCAATCCGTTTGGGCTTGTGCCCCACACGAGAGAGGACCTTTCCCCTACTTCGCCTTGGCAAAATGGCCTGACCTTCCAACATTGATTTGTGCTTTGCTCCTGGGAAACAAAGAACAGGAAAGTTACAGAAGAAGTGAAACTTACTAAGCAAGAGTAGTTCTGGAACAAGGGATATGGCATGCCCAAAGGCAAGGTGAAGCTAGAATGTCCAGAATCTACATAAGACCTCTTCTAGCTGTTGCTTGAGTTCAAATGCTAATCCTGTTTAAATACTTCCTTGTGCAGTCTCTACAGTCATCTACAGTCGGCCTTCCACATTTATGGGTTTGACTTGTGCCAATTTGATTATTCATGAATTTGATTTAAAAATGTTCTCTCTAGGGATTTATAGGTCTTCCAGTGTGGTTCTATGTTCAATTTCTGTTGGAAGCTGACCACAGAGTCACAGTGGAGGATCTAGAGATTCCTAAAGAGAACACCTCTCTATGAATTTCTAAGTCACTTAGTATGATTCTGTGGTCAGCTTTTGGCAGAAGTTGACCATAGATTAGTACTAGAAGACCTAGAGATTTATAGAACCTAATAGTGTTCTTTTATTTGCAATTTTCCAGTCTTGTGGAGGTTTTGTGCCTCTAAGCCCAGCAAAGGTAGAGGGTAACTCTAGATAGCCTTGCTTTAGAAGCGGCTACTGATCAACCCCCCCGCTGAATGAAACCCAAGAGCCCCTCTGATTCTGTCTTGGCAGAAGACCCATAACAACAGACGGTGTAGGACATCAGTGCGCTTCCTCTATCTCTCTGCTGCTGAAGCTGAAAAAAACCACATGGCATTTATATGTTCTTTATTTGCTCCAAGCCTATTTCAACATTTGCAACACAAATGTGTGTGTGTTGATTTTAAAAACAGCTGTAGTCCCCCCCCCCAAACACCAAAGATAGCTGCCCTATGTCTCAGATTTGTTTTTCAGACACTTTCTTTTAAAAACATGGGAACTGATTATTTGCATTTTTTTTCTTTTTTTTAATTTGGCCCATCTTTTCCATGTTTGGTTTATTTACATGTATTGAATTGCTCTCTCTGAGGTTTCAAACCACCCATGGTTACATTCCCAGTGCATTATCGCTCCTGCCCCCTGTGCTAAAATGGAACAGTGTTATCAAGAAAGGTAAAGCCAAATCTGAAATGAATCAGGTTTTATTTATATTTTACTATCCTTATTATTGCAATTACTTGCTGTGTTTAAAAACAGAAGACATAAAAAACGACAGCCTAAAAATTAAGAGTTCAAGCAAAGCAGTCTGCCATTTATTATTTTTCAGATATGAAAGTTTGTTTTAGAATTTAGAAGCTACTCTTCTAGCATAATACTTTTACTTGGATTAACTAAAAAGCCACAAACAGTAACCTAGTTTTCCAGGTCGTCAGTTTTTTTTATCAGAACAGACACTATTACAAAACAGAGTAATAAAGCGGTGGGAGATAGATATTACTAAATATGATGAAAACTCAATAATATAGAGATGCAATGGAGGAGATGTTACAGAGACAAGTTACATGAGGTTGCTGCAAAAGATCCTTTGGTGCTCAATAATCTACAAGGATAGTGAAGTATTTCCTCTGCTTTAAAATATAAGAAGCTGATATTTCTGTCTGTGTAGAATTCGGAAACCAAGATGTTAGGGCAGTGGTTCCCAACCTGTTGTCCGCAAGAACTAAAATATGGTCCCCAGCCTCTACGTTACTACACCGTTGCGACGAGAGCAACTGGTCTCGCAAAACTCTTTTATAGTGCTGAGGAAACGGGGATGTCGGGAGGGGAGAGGCTGACTACTCACAAAAAGCTCAACAACAAGCCTCCTGCTGCTGTTTCTCCTCCTCCACCCTCTCCTTGAGCAGAGCAATTCTATGTGGTGCCTGGAAGTGGGGGCGTCTTGGTATCTTCAATTTTAGGCTTGTTCCTGGGGTTACTTGGGGTGCTTATTCAGAAAACTGCATTGAATAGACCACATCAGCTCTAGATTATTAAATATGGTTTTCTGTGGGCAAGCAGATGGGGACTACTGGATGGCATATGTTCTGTATCAGAAACTAGAGTTGATGTGGTCTAGCCATTGCAATTTTCTGAATCAGCACCCCAAAGAACCAAACAGAATCTAACGTTGACAAAAAACTGATTTATAACCCTTTTGGTATTAATGTTGGAGAGTTGTCTCTGGTCAAGTGGTCCCTGGTCAAATAAAGGTTGGGAACCACTGCATGAGTTTTGAAAATATGTAATAAGAAGGCTTGAGTCAGATGCTAAGGGAGTAACTTTCATCTTTTATTCTGATGTTCTAAAAAGATTGAGCATACACTGTCCCAGATCAGCATTTTTCCCAGATGAAAATAACCCCAAGTAGTAAACAGTACACATTTTTTACCAAACATAGCAATTTTGGGATCACACTCCTTCCAAAATGTTAAAAAATAGGCCAGAAGTAATACATATAACATCACTTCTAAGTTGTAAAAAACCCCACATGCCCGTGTGTTTCACTGGAGGAAGAAATTGGCAGCCACACTTGCACAGTTGTCCACTCTAGTCTACCAGACTCAGATATCATGCTGAATTTTTGCCAGCCTCCAATATCATGGCAAATGGATGGCGGTGAGGCAAGATGTTATACCTTCAGGCTATGTACAGATGAATATTTATGTAGAACAAGAGGAGTCACTTCCTTTTTATTGCTATTCTGGCACAACCTCTGATTTAATATCCATAACTGGATAAATCCATGTGGTGGGAGAAAGTAGGTCAACATGGACTTCATTCCATGGGCTCTAAAACATACACATATTTAATATAGGAGCGCTGGCCAAACATCTGTGGTCTAGCTGGAACTTTTCCAGGTTTCAGCTTTGTTCCCACCTCTGCTATCATAAAAAGGTTTTTCTCTTTTCCTTTCACCACTTTCTAAAATCTTTACTCGGTTACCATCACTAATTACTTCTGGAACATCCCATTATTCAGTGGCATAGTTGCATGTTTTACCTTCAGTTTTTCTTTCCTCTTGAATTGAAGACGGGAATCTTATGAGCACATGTAACATGCCCAGCAAGCAAATATGCAAGAGTGATATTGAAGGAATTCTCATGAGAATGTTTTTATTCTAACTACATTATTATTCTTGTTTAGGAAACAGTATACCCTTCCTTCAGACAAAGCAAAAGAGAAATACAATAACTATAGCTCAGTTTTAAGTTACATTCAGACACATGTAAAAGACAAAACACCCCTAATGCACCTGGCTATTGGTCCCTATTCCACACTCAATATAACTGACTGGACAAACAAAATGAATTTCAACAAGGACAAATGTAAGATACTACACTTAGGCAGAAAAAATAAAATGCAAAGATACAGAAAGGATGATGCCTGGCTCAACAACAGTCCATGTGAAAAATATCTTGGAATCTTCATGGAAACAAGTTGAACATGAGCCAACAGTGTGATGCAGTAGCTAGAGAAGTCAAGGGGATTTTGGGCTGCATCAAAAGGAGAATAGTGTCTAGATCGAGGGAAGTCATAGTGCCTCCCTATTCTGATTTGGTCAGACCTCACCTGGAATACTGTGTACAATTCTGGGCACCACAGTTTAAAAAGAATATTGACAAGCTGGAAGATGTCCAGAAGAAGGTAACTAAAATGATCAAAGGTCTGGAGACCACGTACTATGAGGAGTGCCTTAAAGAACTGGGTATGTTTAGCCTGCAGAAGAGAAGGTTGAGAAGAGACATGATAGCTATGTATAAATATGTGAAAAGATGTTATAAGGAAGAGGGAGCAGGCTACCCTGGAAACTAGGACTCAGAGCAATGGGTTCAAATTACAGGAAAGGAGATTCCACCTGAACATTAGGAAGAACTTCCTGATTGTAAGAGCTATTCAGCAGTGGAACTCTCTGTCTCAGAGAATGATGGAAGCTCCTTCCTTGGAGGCTTTTAAACAGAGGCTGGGTAGCCACCTGTTAGGGTGCTTTGATTGTGCTTTCCTTTCATGGAAGCAGGTTGGACTAGATGGCCCATGTGGTTTCTTTCAACTCTATTATTCTATGATCTAGTGTGCAATGTCCAAAGGGGTGTGTGGAAAATCTGGACATTGTTTTTCCAGTTTCAACCATGCTTTTCAAGGGGTGTAGAATAGTTACACCTCCCCACAAAAACCCAAAGGAGCATTCTTGTGACCTGGGAACTGTTCCTCACCCTGAAAGATTGAGAAGCTTTTGAACCTTCTCACAAACAGGTTCCCCTACTGGATGAGTGTTCACTTCTTGAGATCTTTGCAGGTTCTATATAATGCTGATCTTTTCCTTGCCTGGAAGTGAGCTTAGAGCTCAAGAATGGCAGGATACCATTTTCATAAGACCATCCTCCCCCAAATCTCAGTCAACCCAAGAAAAGGCTGGAAGACTGCTGTGATTTCATTCATAGTTGTTATGGGTCTCAATCAAGAGAAAAAATTGGATATAAATAAATATGATGATAATAATTCCTGAATCCCAGGAAAAATAAGAGATTCACAGGCATACAAGTACTCCCATTAAGAATTCCTTACCAGAATTATGGGCCTCCAGCTGAGAGGCAGAGTTGACTGTCACTTTGCAAGTTGGACAGTACAGGTGCTGCTTACTTTTCTTTCCCTCCTTCTCCATTTCTGGTGCTGAGCTGGTGGTCTGGCTTGATTCAGTAGCCGGAGTCTCAGCTCCAGCAGCTGCAGAAGATGATGCCAAACTTGCAGTGTCCGGAGCTCCTTCCGAGGGCTCTGAAGCTGGTGGGGAGGCGAGGGGCAAAATGCCACTTGCTAGCTTGGCAGATGACTCCTCTGTTGGGGATGTCATCATGAGGCTGCAGTTGTCTGCTGTTGGCTGGTTCAAGCTGAGTAGGCCGTTAGGTTGTGCTAACAAAAGAGTACAACAATTGCTTTTCATCAAGAAACTTTGCTGCTTCTGCAGATCAACAAAGCCTTACAACATTATGAGGACACTTTATAGATTATTTTTCATAATATTGGGGTGGGAAAAGTAAGCCACAAGCATGCAATGGTAGCTGATGGCACCTGCAACAGTGTGGCAGTAAATTCACCCTGGGTTGTAGTCTGAACTTTAGAAGCTAGCCAAAGCGTAGAACCTAGTTTGAGGACAAGTTTAGTATCTTGGAATAGATCCCTTAAAGTTTAGAGTAACATTCTAAGCATATTTATCACCAATTGACATGGAAGCTACTGGCTGCCACAACATGAAACTCATCGATTCATCTCATGAAGTTGGGTGTACACTGCACACTTCATTTATTTACTAGAAAACAGAGGTTCCTCTCATCCTTGATGCTACATTTTCTAGAGGAGTGGTGGGAAACTGCCTAAGAGGAAGGACCAATTTCCTCCAGGACACAGATACCATGGTCCACAGTCTTTCCCAAAGCAAGACCAAATACCAGTTTTCTTCTTTCAGTCTCTCTCAAAATGGCAACTCAAGGTGACATTGTATTACTTCCTGAAACCATTTTGAGAAGGTCTAGAGAAGCAAATACAAGTATTTAGAGGTAGTGAAAATTCTGAGAGGACTCTGTAAATAGGGTGGGAATATTTTTCCAATGTCTTTACCCTTTAGAGGGATTTTTGGTATTGTTTTTAGGCAAAAACTTCCTGGGGGCTTTAGGAAACTGGTGGGTGAGGGCTACATGAACAAAAAACTGAGGTCTACTATATATGTAGTCTATAGGCCAAACTCTACCTAACCTTGTTATAAAGGATCTGCTCTCTGCAAGGCCAGAGCATCCTATCCTCAACTAGTCCAGGTCAGATGAGCGAGTCTTTCTAATCTCTGAAGGTAGATGTGTCTTGAATGGCTATTCCAGCAGAATGCAGAAGTTTCGCCCAGCACGGAATATTATGTCATTTCAGTGTTAATGGAAGACAACAACTTATTTGCTACAAGATGCCCACAATGCCTTCTTTTATACATTCTGTTGCTCTCCTCAACATTTTTCCCCAAATGCAACTGAAATATATAAAAGTGTTTGTGAATTGAGCCCATGTGAACAATGCTTGGAGTGTTGGCATGAGAGCGTTCCCAATCTACAAAGAGTAAAGAATCCCAGATTGTGATGCCCTTAAGATGTCTAGTTTGTCCAAAAATTCAATGACAACAATAACCCCCATAGTCTCCTACAGTCCCTTCAAGATGCAATAAAAATGGATCCATCCAATCCATCCTTCAGGTAAAGTTTCCAAAGTTCAAGTACTGTCCTCTATTTACCCCCAAAAAACAATAGCTCTTGAATTTTTTTCATAAACTAGATGACAATGTGTTTTTTTGTTTTTTTTACCACTGACCTCCATTGCTGCTGCTGGTGTCTCCGTTGAGATGTAGTGCGGTATCAAAGTCAGCTGGTTTTTCTTGGCTGCTGTTATTGTCAGCCGTCTTGTGCTTATTCTTTGCTGCTTCAATGGCTTTGAGTCTCCGGGCATGTTTGTGGCCTCTATAATGTGCTTCAGCTTGATTCTGAGATTTAAAAAAACATAGTTGGAAAGGGGCGGATTGAATGATGGAAGAAAGTGCATTATGATGGTCATTTTGCATTATGAAAGGTCAAAGAAAGACCATTTTATTTATTTCATATCCAAAAGCACTGCATAAATTAGTATAAAACTGATAAAAATAGAAGGAGAGCAGGCGGCTAAATATGAGCAACTTGGAAGTCCCTGAACAGACTCAGAAGTGGAGTGGGCAGATCAAAAGACCATAACACAAGAATAATTTCTAAGTTCCCCTGGTGGCTTCCATGTCAGTGAGGCAGTGAATCTATCTTGGGTTTTAATTTGGAAATATCCAACATCCAGAACTTATTTTGGCGATAGGATCTAGCATCTTGGATGTGGTGAAGTGTGAATTTTAATCTACAGTTATGTATAGTTATAGATAGTTGTTTAGAGAGGTAAGTATTTAGAGTAGCATGAATCGGGGGATGGTGGCCAGCTCAGCTCACTTTGAGCGGGGTTGCCATGGAAAAGGGGGCAGAGCCAACTGCCACTTGGCAGGGCAGCCATTCTAAAATGGTCAGTCTGTAGTCTGTGAACTGCAGGAGTGGCTGGTTCTGTAGTAGTGAGAACCAGGAAGGTACACTATAGTTTAAAAACTACAGGGTAAGGTTGATTCTATTGTAGTGAGAATCAGGAAGGTTTTTGCTTTTAGCCTAGATAGTTTAGATAAGTCGAGTTGACTTATTTATATTAGTAGTTAGTGTATGAGTAGAAGGAGTGAGAGAAAGCCAGTGAGAATCTTTATTGCAACAGAAATATCACAAAGAAAGAATAAGCTTGTATCTAAAGTAATCTATTAAGGAAAGAAACACAGTTTGAAGAAAAATAAGTTTGAAACCTGTTTAGTAGAAGGAAAAGTTTTTTCCAGAGTTGTTTTAAGGAATGTTATAAATGTAATCTCTAAAGATATATGCCTCTAAGAGTCAAGAAACATTGAAACCATCAAGCTTCTGCTACATTTCAATAAACTTGTTATAGTTTCTTATAAAGCCCGGTCTCTGTTACAAATCCTTTCCAAGTCAAGTCACGCTACATTTTGAAGAAAGACCAATTCAATATTACTAGCTATTAGCTATGTTATCAATGTAATAAGCCCTTACAAAGTGGTAGCTCCTTTACAAAACTGTTACAAACTAGTGGCCTATTCTCACAAATTGGGTGTCATCATTGCATTGGGTACCTCATTTCAAGTTCAGACTTACACCCAGAGCAGTTTCCTTACCCCATTAACATAGAAGTCACTTGCTACCTTTCTAATTAATAAAATGCAAGACCAGCTGATATTTGTGATGTTTTCTCAGGGATGTTGAAGAGCACACAGCAAATCAAATGAGGGGGTTCACCCTCTCCATCTCTTATGAGAAGCATCATCCAATTCCAGGTTTGAAAAATGCCAGAGGCGGGAGAGAGCAGTGGCATATGGGAATAAACCTGATGGTCTGCAAAAGTAAATGAGGAACGGCCTTATCGTTGATGTTATCATCTGACTTATTCACTTGTAGGAGCTTCAGCCAAATTAACCTACAACCCTCCCATTGTTTTTTCATTGATGTTTCTGGCCTAAATCCCATTGTTAGTCTCTACTAGAACAGAGTCATTGAAACTGTGGAATTTACCTGTGTTGACTTAGAATTCAACAGTATATCTACTGTATTTGAGATTAACCAACAGAATTTAGGCCATCTGTCTTTTTTCTTAACTATGGAAAATCTATGTAGAAGAAAAATACATCAACCATGCAGTGCCTTTTTCTGACACATAGGAATAGGAGTCTCCCATCTATGCTTTTTTAAGGAAAATAGGGATAACATGTAGGGTTATGGATTTTATCCATACACTAAACAACCAATTTTTCAGGAAAATAAATGGCCGGAAAATGGGTGTGTAGGGAGGCGGGTGTCTTCATCCCTTCTGCCCCATTCTGTGCATGAAGGAGAATTGCTTTCCCCCAAACATTATGCAAATGAAGACAAACCTCTGCCTAACACTCTCATTTTAATTCAGATTGGATTTAAGTTACCATGAATTTGCCGCAGAGCCGTTCATTCTGCCAACAATGGGGAGAATTGTCTCTGACTGCTAAATACACAAGCATATTTTGTGGTGGTGGTGGGGAGGCATTCTGTAATCTTTTGTATTCTTTTTTTTTCAAAAAAATTATCAGCATCAAACAGGCAGGAGACATTAGCACGCACTTCATTTATTCATCCTTCTCACGAAAAGGATAACGGGAAAGGATAAAGGAAAACGTATACTACCACTACAACCACACACACACACACACACAAATACGCCTGCCTGCGAACGTACATTGAATGTTAGCCATGCATCCCAGGAAATGACAATAGTTGACAGTTGTGTCCTTCTTCACTCCTGCTGCGAATACATTTAGCTATATTATTTTATTTTGTACAACAAAGTCATCAGTCGCATATATTGTTTTTTCATATATTCTTTTGCCCGAAAGCTCCTTTTGATACAAGCCATGGGTTGCATTTAATCAGGGGCAACGTGTCTTATCTCCCTTTCACCAGGCAATGAACAATGCCAGGAATTGAAATATATGGTTGCGCAGCAAAATGGAAGGCTTGCAGAGAAAAGGGAGTGGTGGAAAGGGGGTGGAGAGTAGAGAGGTTTGGGGGGGGGGGAGGGAGGGAGAAAACTGAAAAGACAGGTTGGTTTATGAGATGGCCACCACATAACAGACTGAAGGTCACCGAGTCCAATTGGTAGGCTGAGGTCCTGCAGTGTCCAGGATACAGGAAAGCAACAAAAGAAAGGAAAAATAAGGGGTGATTGGCGGCTCAGTACAAGCAGCTCTCTTGGCAGCCGAAACCTTGGGATGGGTGAAAATGTGTTCCTTAATAAACATGCAAACATTTGCTCAGTTTTCCAATGGAAGGAACATTAAAAATGAGAAAAGGAATTGAAATTTGCTCATCTGGGATACGGATTTCTAGTGCTGAGCTTTTAAAGTCTAAATATGAATCCCTGAATATTTAACTATATGTTTATAGTGTTGAATTAGGATTGCCACATTTTTTACCTGATACATTTAATAATAATAATAATAATAATAATAATAATAATAATAATAAGCCAGAAAAAGTTACAGAAAATGAACACGTCAAGCTACTCTGGGACTTCTGGATTCAGACAGAGTTTTGGAGCACAATACTCCTGATCTCACGATCATGTTAAAAAACAAAGTATGGATTGTCGATGTTGCAATCCCGGGTGACAACAGGATTGAAGAGAAACAACTGGAAAAGATGACACGATATGAGGATTTAAAGATCGAACTGCAAAGACTCTGGCACAAACCAGTAAAGGTGGTCCCAGTGGTGATCGGCACACTGGGTGCAGTGCCTAAAGACCTTGGCCTGCACTTAAACACAATCGGCGCTGACAAAATTACCATCTGCCAGCTGCAGAAGGCCACCTTACTGGGATCTGCAAGAATTACTCGCTGATACATCACACAGTTCTAGACACTTGGGAAGTGTCCGATGTGTGATCCAATACAATAGCCAGCAGAGTTTCTGCTGTGTACTCATCTTGTTGTGTTTCAAACAATAATAATAATAAACTTTATTTATACCCTGCCACCGTCTCCCCAAAGGGGACTCGGGGCAGCTTATATGAGGCCAAGCCCACTAGTGCAATTACAATAATATAACAACAACATAACACAAACGCATGAAATAAACATTACAAAAAGATAAATAAAGCAAAAAAAAATTAAAAGAAAAAATGCAAAACAATAGAGAAAAATCAAACACACAATCTTATGGGCAATTTCATAGAATAGGAAAAAATCCCTCCAAGAACTATGATTTACTTAGAGAATGAGAAAGAAGGAAGCATGCACATTTATAGCATAGATATAACAACAAGAAAGATGCAGTTGGAAATTTTTCTGTGCTGTCCAATAGAACTTTGCAAGGAATCTGCAGTTGCTGATGTTACTTTGTAAAGTACTGGCACTTGTACTAGGGGCTTGGTCTGTAAATCAAAGATGGTGGCAGGAGGAAGTGTGTAAGGGAGCTTTTGAGAGATACATAATGGTCTGAGCATTGGACTATATCTCTGGAAATCATAGTTCACATCCTTGCTTGGACATGGAAACCCTCTCGCTCTGAAGGAAGGCAAGGAGAATCCCCCCTAAACAAATTCTGCCAAGAAAACCCTGTGATAGGTTTAACTTATGGTCACTGTAAGTTGGAAATGACTTGAATGCACAACGCCACTACCAGATTAACTTAGCCTGGACTTTAAAGGAGCTATCCAAGGTACTGACCTCACTGCTGATGTATTATCCCTAGTGCTGATTCTATAATATATTGAACAAATAGGCACTGAATTTTTCATTGAAATACTTTCTGTGATAGGGTGTTCTAAACTCTTCCCTTAATATCCTATTTCTGATGTTTTTTCATTGCGCCATTTGCACATCCACCAAGAATTTGTATGAAGGGGGAATGCAGCGGCCTTCCCTTTAGATCAGGGTGACAGCCAGGCTATTGATTGGAAGACTCTGGTTCATGAAGTCCCAATAAGTCAAACATGACTTGATGGCAAACAATTACATCAACATTTTTTTAGCAATTGCATCTCAGCGGTAGATAAAGCTAAAGTCTGTGGTAGATTAAGACAGAAGTATTCATTCTCTGTGGGGAAAATGGAAGGAAAAAGGAAGAGGGGCCCTGACCAAGGGTAAAATGGATGGATGGCATCCTTGAAGTGACTGGCTTGACCTTGAAGGAGCTGGGGGTGGTGACGGCCAACAGGGAGCTCTGGTGTGGGCTGGTCCATGAGGTCACGAAGAGTCGGGAGCGACTGAACAAATGAACAACAACATTCATTCTCTCTCTTTGTGATGTCCCCTTTCTCTATTTTGAATGACTTCTTTTCTTCTCATGTGTCTTTCTACTCAACACAGCAAACTGTTGAGAGAGACAGAGTGAGAACACTCTTGCTAGTGGTTTTAGCCTTTTGAAATTAGGCTAAGGGTTGCAAGCTACTGATTTCCATCTAGGAATTTCCTCTTTCTTTATCTTCTAGCTAATCTAGGAGTGGGCAACTAAAGCAGGGCTGGGGGCAAGTTTTCTGCCCTTTGGAAAGAATAGAAAACTGCCCCACCCACAATATCAATAATCTCTTCAGACCAAAACTACATTTGGTCCAGGAAAAAACCACAATGTTTTGAGTATACTGTACTCCATTATAGGTCTTTTGAAAAGAAAATGTTTGACTCACTTACATGTTGGTGAAATAATGCAGATAATTATTTCAAGTGACAGAGAAAGTAGGCATGTTTTGTAATATTCCTTTTTTGGTGAAACATGTTACATTATATTAATTTTGCATTAGAAAAATCTTTAGCATTTGTTGTTATTTTTAATTACTTTCTAGTGATGTAGAATTTAATGGAGACCAATGTTGTTGGATTGTTGAAAGAGAACATACTTCAAGGCTGGAAAGAAAGCTCGTACATCTCCTAGCTGTCTCTCCAAGGTCAGAAGATTGTCCTGTTTAGGTATACATGAGTGTGTATTTTTGAGATATTACCTCTTCCTCTATCACAGGCAAGACTTGTGGGAATAAGGAAGAAAGCCTTCTCCACTGTGGCTCCCAGACTTTGGAACTCACTACCTGGTGAGAATAGACAAGCCCCCACCTTAGCAGCCTTCAAGAAAAATGTGAAAACTTGGCTCTTCTGATGTGCCTTTGGAGAGTGACCATTTATCCCATTTCTGTTTGCTCCATCTATAGTGTTGCCCTATGATGCACTTTCCCCCATCCTATACTGCAAGCCTACACCACTGTTTATTCTTTTTGGGCTCCCCTCAATTATATATTCTCTTTCCTACCTCATCCAGGGTTTTATCATTTTACCTCGTCCACCTGCCCTGCCCATTCTGTTCAATTTTATAACGTGTTAATTTGCTTTATTTATTTTATTTTGCTACTGTATGTATTTTATTCTGATGTAATTTTTTGTTGTCTGCATTCTGTATTTTATTTTGCTGTATTGTATCTTTGGGCTTGGCCTCATGTTGGCACCTCCCAAGTCCACTTTGGGGAGAAGGTGGTGGGGTATAAATAAAGATGATGATGATGATGATTATTATTATTATTATTACCTTCAGTATATGGAAATGTAGTCTGCTTATATGAATGTATATGCCAAGTACATGTTGATACCCTATAGATTTATTTCTTAACATTTTAAACTGCCATTGTTATATAACCAATTGAATCCTGGGATTTATAGTTTGGTGAGGTGCCAGAACCATCTCTGACTGAAAATTCTAAATAGAAACAGCACATCCCAGGATACATTAGTTGTAACCAGTGTAAATCATGGCAGTTAAAATGGAAACATAGTTCTGTAATTGTATGATGTTAAAGGACCATAAGAGAGGCAATTCACCCTTTCTACTCAGGAAAAAAGTGGTGTGGACAAGTTGGCAAAGTGTTGGGGGACATGAAAATCTACTTATGGGTGGTTCAGTTTGCCAATCCTATCATAGACATTTCTCTTCTTTGAATTTGTCCACCCGTTGTCTGCCCCACTCCACTTCCCTGCAAGAGCATGGCTTACCGCAGAGTTGAATCTTAGATGGCAAATATTACAAGAGATGAACTGCTTCTTCTTGAGTGGGTTGGGTACACCAAAGGTATGGTTGATCACTGCTTTCTGTACAGGATCCATCTGAAAAGGAGGGTGTAGGGGAGGAAAGACAGACTCTATCAGGCGATGTTTTAGAAACCCAGGAGACCAAAATAGCAAACCTGAAACAGATTCACATGTGTATATATGCCCACAGAATTCTTGGACATTGCATAGGGTGCCCTGTTGGAATTAGTGTGGCCATTTTTGCATAAATTTAGTTGCCATCCCCTGCTAGAGTAAACCAACACAATTGCAGATTGATAAGTCAATACTTACGCAAAACAAACTGATTCAGTGGATTTAGAAGACAGGAGGTCAGAGTTTTGTGGACAACAAATGGAATTTTTTTGGAAGAACATTGGGAAATATTAGATTGGCACCCTCTACAGATTGGATGTCACTTTGCTTTTTTGAGGCACACAATTTTGTTTGCCATGAAGTTATGTTTGGAATATAAAAGTGTAATTTATTCAAGCAATAATTACATTTTAAGTTTCATTTTCAATTTTTTTTGTTATAAAATGACCTGCAATGTCTCAAATTGCAAGAAACTTTTGTGATTTTATAAATTTATTAAGAGCAGGCAAAAAAATCAGAAAAAACAGTCACATTAATAAAACTGAGTATATTATTTTGACTCCTCTTCATAGAGTTAAGCAGAAATAAAACATATTCCTGTAAAATGAACTTTTCATCCTATAAGAAAAGGAAGCTAAGACCAGGAATTGCAATGATCCGATACAATAATATACATTATCTTACATACAAGTCTTCCTGTTATATAGCTTTTAGAAATAATTCCAATAATTTTATATGAACACCTTGTCTTTAACATTTAGTTCGCCATTCTAAAAGAGTCCATACTCCATTTTTCATTTCTCAATTTTACTTCCTGCAAAACACTTTGGGAAAAAAAATACTTGACTCCCTTTCTCAAATGCTGGGTTTCCCTTCCAGCAGCTTTCACATCACTACAGCTAGGATCTTTGTTCTGTCTAAACTGTTCCTTCTTTACCTAAACTGATAGTCTCATTAGGAACTCCCTCCCTCCATTTGAATTATATGTCTAATAAAGATACAAGTTTCCCCTCGACGTTAAGTCTAGTCAAATCCAACTATTGGGGGGGGGGGGTGGTGGTGCTCATCTCCATTTCTAAGCTGAAGAGTTGCTGTTGTCCGTAGACGTCTTCTAGGTCATGTGGCCAGCATGATTGCATGGAGCACCGTTACCTTCCTGCTAAAGTGGTACCTACTCACATTTGCATGTTTTTGAACTGCTAGGTTGACAGAAACTGGGGCTAACAGCGGGAGCTTATCCTGTTCTGTTGATTCAAGCCGACAACCTTCCGGTCAGCAAGTTCTGCAGCTTAGTGGTTTAATATGTTTAATATTAATATATAATTCCTACTAACTTTCCTCTCCCTGTTTCTAGATGTAGTTCTTACAGGAAATGTCTTCTCAGTAATTTACGATCATCTTTGCTATTTTTTCAAAGCACTATCTTCCACACATACCATAAAGTGGAAATGGTTTTAAGGTGCAATACTGTCCCCTAAGGGTGCTGCACGGAATTCTCTATTGCCCAATATGGAGTCAAAATGGAACCCAGAATATTGCAGGAGAATTATATGTTGGACTAGCTGTGGCCAACCTTCCCTCCCTCTTTCTCTACTCCTTCCTTTCTCTCCTTCGTTCCTTCCTTCTTTCCCTCTTTCCTTACCTTTTCTTCTTTCATTCTCTCCTTCCTTCCTTCTCTTCCTCTTCCCTTCCTTCTCTTTCCCTTCCTCTTTCTCCCCTTTCTTCCTTCTCCACCTATTCTTGGACTGCAACTCCACAGTCCTCCTGATCTACCTACCTACCTACCTACCTACCTACCTCTATCTAATCTATTTTATCTTATCTACCTGGAGGATTGCTGGGAGTTGCAGTCCAGGAATAGGAAATTAGAATTATGCAGGGATTGAGATGCTCTCAAAGAAATGCAAGGAGAAGAAAGCTTGCATCTTGGAAGCAATACATTTGGATCCTCCTCCTCTCCTAAAGGGCCTGGTCTAGGGGATGCTGGGAGCTGTAGTCCGGAAGAGAGTGTGCATATGCTATTGTGTGTTTTGTTTGCCAGGAGGAGTCGTTTTGCGCATGCACTGTAGCGTCTTTTTTCTTTTCCAGCTTTTTAAGTCCCTTCCGTTGTGTTTTCAGTGTTGTTATGGGTGATGGTCACTCGTTGGCCTGATAGGTGTATTGTGTCCAAATTTGGTGTCAATTCGTCCAGTGGTTTTTAAGTTATGTTAATCCCACAAATGAACATTACATTTTTATTTATATAGACTAGCCGTCCCCTGCCACGCATTGCTGTGGCAATGTCTGTGTATATGTGTTTTGTGTATGTGTATATGAGCGTGTGTATGTTTGTGTATATATGTGGTTTTGCGCATGCATTGTAATGCAATTTTTGTTATTTAGCTTTTTAAGTTCTTTCTGCTGTGTTTTTCAGAGTTTTTATGTGTGATGGTCACTCGTTGGCCCGAGAGGTGTATTGTGTCTAAATTTGGTGTCAATTTCTCCAGTGGTTTTTGAGTTATGTTAATCCCACAAATGAACATTACATTTTTTTATATATAAACTAGCCGTCCCCTGCCACGCATTGCTGTGGCCCAGTCTGGTGATTTGGAAAATAAAGTAATGAGAAAGTGTTGATTTCTAATATAAGTAATTTCTTGATTCTTGTGGGTAAACAGTATTTCTTGTTGTTTCTTTGTCAGTGTTGATGTGGAGATTGTCTGGTTTGCCTACTCTGGAATATGCAACATATCATTGTCCTTCTTTAGGGGTCCCTTTCAAATCTATGATACTATATCTCTCTGTGTGTGAATCATATCTATCTATATATATGGCTGGATGGCTCTTTGTCAGGAGGGGTCTGATTACATTTTCTTGCCCTGGTGAAGAGAGTTGGACTGGATGGCCTTAAGTATTTTCTGTTGGTCATGAGGGTTCTGTGTGGGAAATGTGCCCCAATTCTTTCTTTTGAGGGATTCAAAATGCTCTTTGATTGTAGGTGAACTATAAATCCCAGTAACTACAAATCCCAAATGTCAAGGTCTATTTTCCCCAAACTCCATTTGTGCTCATATTTGGGCATATGGAATATTTGTGCCAAGTTTGGTCCAGATCCATCATTGTTTGAGTCCATAGTGCTCTCTAGATATAGGTGAACTACAACTCCCAAACTCAAGGTCAATGCCCACCAAACCCTTTTAGTGTTTTCTGTTGGTCATGGGAGTCCTACATGCCACGTTTGATTCAATGCCATAATTGGTGGAGTTCAGAATACTCTTTGATTGTAGGTGAACTATAAATCCCAGCAACTACAACTCCCAAATGACAAAATCAAAATTTTTTGAGTGAAGGACATACATTGGGTTGTTAGGTGTCTTGTGTCCAAATTTGGTGTCAATTGGCCCACTGCTCTTACAGTTCTGTTAATCCCACAAATGAACATTACATTTTTATTTATATAGATGATCCAACAACAAGACTGTAGAACTATATAATACTATGAAAACTCATGGTGAGGAGTGACACAAATCTACACGTCACAAAACAAAGCATGGACATTCAATAACGTCTTGGTTATCTCTTAAGTTACGAGCAGGTAAAAATAACTAAAAAAAAAACAGCAACCCAGGTCAGAAAATTCTGCTGAACACAGGGGAGAGTTTTCACCCACTACTGCATTTGCTCCAGTTCTCAGTTTCATTTGGTTTTCTCAGTCTTTGCCTAGGAGATATTTAAGATTCCAGAATAATTTCCTAACAAAATGGCTGCATTAAGTAATGTGGAAAAAGATTAGAGATGGGAGTGATGAAGTGAAAAGGGCGGGGGCCGAGGGTGGGGAAGAGCTAATACAAAAATAATGTGTGTGTTTGAGCACAACCACAATCTATAATACAAGCATTGTTCTCTTAGCCCTGTGGCTCTGGAAGATTATCTTATCCGAGGCTGGCTGTCAGGAAGAAGGGAGCACGAGATTGAGGTTTGAAGGCGATCGTATTTCTCAGCAAAGCTATTTAGTTGTCCAGACAGGTGCATCGGTCTAGCAGGCAAAGCCTGCAGACAAGGGAATCATTATCTGGACCCTTAAATTCTATCCCCAAAGGGAGTGGTATTGACAACAGAGAGTGATTAATGAAGTGGTGCCTTCCAATGTTCGTGATGAAATTTTTACTCACTCATCTGGAATAGAAATGAAGAGATATATGCAAGAGAGTCAGGCAGGCAGAACAGTGATGGCGGCGGCAGTGGGGGCAATGGCTTTGAGTGATGAAAAAAGCCTTTTATGCCATCCTTGATGACATGTCGGTATACATGGTCCAAGGGTGTAGTACATGGAAGCAGGCCCAAAATTCAGATTACAGAATTAATAGCGATGGGTGCATGTGAGGCTGAAATGGTGGCAGCAGGAAGGAATTATGCATGCATTCTTTTTCTACCACTGGGCTATGAGACTGTGTAGTGGTGGTGGTTGTGAAAATTGCATTTTTTTCTAGGAAAGATTTAAGACATCTCAAAGTATATAACCAAATAATTAAATTACACACACACAAACAAAAACAAGATAATATATGACATAAAATTGCACTATAACAACAACAACAACAACAACAACAACATCATAATAATACTTTATTTATACCCCGCTACCATCTCTCCAAGGGACTCGGTGCGGCTTACATGAGACCGAGCCCAAAATACAACAATACAAGCAATAACAACAACAATACAAGCAGTTTAAAACAACAAAACAATAAAACAACAACATAAGCATTATCAAATAGGACAACACACTTTAAAATCTACGGGTAGGCCAAATGTAATTAAAATTAAAAATAATGCTGGACATGGGAGAAAAAGTGATGGAGCGGTTTGTGCAAACATACAAGCAGACCTAAAACAATATAAAGTGCTTTGGAGGACAAAGTGCTATGGGATCCTTATTCTGGGAGGGCACACTGGAACAACCACGTCTTCAAGCTCCTCTT